CGTACGTACGTACCTGAATTTGATTCTAAAACTACTTCAGCAACTTTCTTATGTTGGCGGTTCGCCTGGATAACTGCCAATCTTCTTCTCTTCTCTTTCTCGGTCAAAAATCCTTTAAATTTGCGTGCATTCGGCGATCGCGAAGCGTACTTGTTTGTTGTGGCAGCCATCTTGAAAGTCTGCTTCAAATGCGCAGAACGTATGCGCAGTGCATTTCCGCGCATACAACCTTAATATTATGACATCATCGCTGTAGATTATTTGCAATAATGTATCCCATTATGAATACAATGTTGTATTCAGAAACAAATTAAAAAGAGGATGCTTAAAAAGAAGAGAAATTATTTTTGGACTGATTCCAGCCATTAATTAAAAAATATAGGAATTAGAATTGACTATTGCATGTATCTTTTTGAACCTACATGTATGTATTGGCCATGACAATTACAAGATTTCAATGCATGTAGAAATAATAGAATAGTTGTAAGTTTTTATACATGTACAGTGTTCTTCCAAAGATCATGGCAAAAAAGAGCTATTTGCATATTAATTTTTACAGTCTGCAACTGTTTTTTAATTTCAGATAAAATTTCCCCATAAGTTTTTTTTTCAACCTTGGAATAATATTTTCATTTTATTTCTGATATTTGCCATGGTGTGAGTAGTGATTTAAGTAGGTATCCAAATAAACTGCTTTCTGACTTGGTTGACCATTAGTCAATGTTTACGGTGAAAAAAAACCCAGCTCGAACATGTATCATAAGAACAACAGCTTACGGAAATTGTAGACAATAGAAAGTATAAAAAACTGCAGAAATCAAGCATGGCAGTAACTATGCTGAGCCTTGTGGTGTTAGACAAGCGTGGTGGTGTCACTATGTGGTTGCTATGAACATGTTCTGGTTGCTGGGGACACACCCATCAGAATTATGTCTATGCATATTACAGTATTTAAATAATCAGCTTCTGATTGCAACTCAACAGATAAAAGACACGAGGTAAGTAACAACTTACATCTTGTAACTTCTTCTAACCTTGCATATAGGGATCTCCTAGCTTTTTCCATATCTGAGGTAGGGTTATCAAAATCTTGCCTTGCCCATTTATATGGACTAACTTTTCTTTGCTCTGGAGTAGGAGGCTTAGCTGGTGATGAATACAGCCTGAGAGGAAAAGCACAGTCAATCAAATTATAATGATACATAGATACATGTACAAGTGTGTTAGTATGACATCACATTGTGTTAATGCATCTGGCTTGAGCATGTACATGTATATATTATTAGTACAGTAAAAATTTGATTCATTTATGCAAATTTAAACTCAGTAATCGACAATGATATATTTTGAAATTGTTTTTACAATGTAGTTTGTTTATATTTACCTCAACATGAAAATCATATATAGCAAGAAAAATAGAAAGCAAAAAGTGTGTCAAATCTGGAAATTATGCTAATTAGATACTTAATATTCACAGACATGACCTCAAAACTAATTATGTCTGTGTATTATCATTATTCCAATGTAACTATGTACTAAATTTGATCAAAATCTGCTCAAAGGTTTTTGAGATTTTGCTTACACAGACAAACAAATACACCATTATCTAAAAATCAAAGTTAAACTGTATATAGCTCCCGTGTGATCAGAGCATGTATTATAAAGGTATAGGCTTTGCCTTATAAGTGAAAGTAATTTCATGTAGGTCAATCCATCAATAAAATTGATCAAGATGTCTGAGAATCTATGACATACTGTATATGGAAACACATGATTTTGATATGGGCATTTTGAAAAACATGCAAGGACACTATACTTGTAAACAAAGGGCACTAATGAGGCACTCTATGAATGAGGTATTTCTAGAGGTCTGGGTTTGTCTCGTCTGCAGTTGAATAATTTTTGCTTTGATTTTCTTATGGGTTTTTTCCCCAACGCGACTTAATTTCACTTGTTTTCTTTTAATTCTTGGTAATTAGTGTCATTAGCGATGGAGGAGTAAAAAACCGCAATTAACCTCAGTGCAGCAAATCAGGATATATCTTCCTGACGCAATGGGCAAATTTCGCTATTTTCACTGACAAAGCATTTCAGAGATATGGCTCCAGAAAACCAATCATTAAAACAAAATGGCCGCCAGTCAGCCATTTTGAATCAAAGCTGAAAAATAAAATGACTTGCATCATGAACCCATAATGTCTAACGTATATACCAAGTTTGAACAAAATCCATCTGTAAACAGCCGAGAAATGCTTGATTTTGATGATTTTTAGCACAAAAATGGCCGCCATTCGGCCATCTTGAATCAGATTGTGAAACAAATTGACGTGCATATGTATAATATCATGTATGATGTATGTGTGAAGTTTGATTGTGATTGGTCCAGGCATTTCTAAGATACAGATACTGCGTCTGAATGGGGACTACCCGGTAATTAAGGTAGCGAGAGGGGAAACATAATTTATAGTTTAATGGAGTTTAGGACTTTCCTCACCAGTTACTAAGCATGCAGTTATGGCAATGTATATGTTTTCAGAAAGCTGAGATATAGCAGAATACGATCATATATGTTCCGTCTTGATATTTCCTCAGGAGATTAAGTTACGATCGTTCCCGTTAACCTCCTAAACGGAGATTTTTTTTTGCGGGATTGGCCGTTTCTCGGTGTTCTTTTTTTCTATGTTTCTGATCTTTTCACTGTTGCTTTATAAGATAATGATCTTTGAGAATGCGTCTCGAAATTTTTATGTGCCCCATAGTTCTGGAGATAAAGCCTGTTGAACTTTATGGAGTAAATTTTACAAACGTCTTCCTGTTCCCAAGGCTGTAACTCAACGTCAATGGCTCACATAAACGTCCATGAGACATCATATTTTAGCCCATTTTGTGGCGAATAGATTGTGTAATTTGTACATCGTTAGCGTAGAGAAAAGTGTTGAAAGATGACATCTTCAATAGTTATGATAGTCAAAATTAGTTTCCATAAAAACTCAATAAAATGTTTTTTTCGAATTTGGCCACAGATAAACAGCTATTATGACAAAATGTCGACCATTTTGATCATACTTTGTAAATATACAAGTATCTGATATGCATGGAATGTTAGATCGTGAAAAATTGGTTGGTTGTTTCCTAAAACATGACAAAACTTAGCAGTTTCGTCAAAAGTGGGTGCTAACTTGAGCAAGATGGCGTACCGCGCAATTAATTTATTCAAGTCCCTTTGTTATGTTGAACAGCGTCAACAGTACAATCGGTTCTCTAAACATAGGGCGGGCCTTCATGACAGCATATATTTACTTATGGGATATACATGCCTTCAAGTACAGATATGTTTGCATTACTCTCAGCCTGTGGAGAGTGTACCGTTATCGGATTTGTTATAATCAGTTAGCTCTAAGTCAGCACTACCGGATTCGTCGATACTCCGCCCAGGCGATCTTATGGAGGATACGATTTTTTTTTAGAAAAATGTGGACCAAAAAATTGCCCGAGTGATGTTATGGCAGATATTACGAAGCCCATCTTGTCTGAAAAAATAACCCTGCGCTGATAAAAATGGTCTCAGAAAATGTTTAGAAAAAATAATGTTCCGCGTTGACCAAATATAATCATTCAAAGTATAAATTCAAAGTGTTTTAATACGTTGGTGAGAGGGAACATTTTACGTGAACAAGAACATGCACTAAGAAGGAAAAGCAAGTCGAAGTCGAAACGGGGTGCATCATGGACATGACATGACATAACACACGATGCGACAACTGAGTGATCAGTGACATCGTTTTGGGGTGCAATTGAACTTCAAGTACTTCTTTGCGAAACTTGCTGCGCGGCGATGCTGACATCAAGTGTGTTGACCGAAGTTTGACCCCAAATCACGCACTGAACTGGCGCGTTACCTTAGCAACCTTTTTTTTTTCGTACTCCGCGCGTCGATCTAGTAAACTTATATCCGACCGGACGGTACTGTAATTACGCAACTTGTATGCAACTCTGTACTTTGAATATATCAACGTCGTTTACTTAGTGCACTGCTATTCTAATTACGCAAATTTGTTTACAATATTGTACCAGCTCTGAATATTTCAACTTTGTAATGTATTGCTTTCATGATAACTACGCAAAATTCATTTTATCTTTTACTATTGTTAGGGCACTGACCCGGGGTATTGGGTCTGTGAATATTTCAATATTACCGACTTGATAATGCGTTGCATTCGTAATAATTACGCAAACATAAACATGGGCGCATTTAAATCATTAAAAAGGATAGCAGTCAGGTGTCTATGGAAAATCAAGAAAATATTTTAAATACTTGTGATTCATCGATGTTCCAATGGTGAATTATTTTGTTCGAAATGAAGTGAATATGTAATATAAACCATACCCGTGCGTCATATTAAATTTTACTATAATATAATAAACTCTGGGCAGCGCACTTCGATCGCATAATTCACGTACATTTCGACTGAACTCAACTAGCCACGTGTTTGAATTACGTGCGGCATTGGGTAATGACCTCCAGAATTCATGCATTGATATTTGAATTCGGACCACCCAGCTTGACCCGTCGACAGAAACCGCTGTATCCACTGTTTTTTTTATCGGTGTCACCACTCTCGTCTATCTCCGCCAATTCTGTTTTGAGTTTTCTTATTTCACCGACGGCATCTTGAAATTCTTGTTCTAATAGTCTTTTAGCAACGTCTAAAAGTTTCCGAGTGTTTTCTCTGAATGTGGTTCCAGATATAATAGAGGAGACGGTAATCCCATATAGTTACTAAATTTACGCATTGCACAACGACCCTTTCCAATGCCACGAGCCGCGATCACCAGCTTACGATTCACATCAAAAGAATGTCCACTCTTTTTTGACGCAGGAAAAATGTCAGTCACGGAGTTACATTTTTGATTCCACTCTGCGGGCTGACTATAATATTAGCCCAGGTCACTTTCATTTACCGTACTCAACCGCGTTAGCGCCCATGCCCGGGCAAGCGCCCACCCCCCACTTTTGCGCAATTTTTATATTTGGGGTCACATTCGGCAAAGCGCCCACCCCTTCAAAATGCAACTAATTTAAAACTTGGTCTTGCGTAACGAATCTTGGTAATCGTTTTTATATGATACAGCGTGGATATCGATCGCTGTAAACATGTTGTGAATGCGTAGAACACGGTAACCGTGCGTAACCTACGCTTCGACAATGACCTGTTAATACAAGTAAAATGTGGTAAATATTTCATGCCATATTCAGTTTACCGGTACCTCGCAAAAATGGCTAGTTACTAGTTTTTTGGAAAAACTATGTCGTTTATTCGCTGAAATTAATTCCAACAGATCGTACTTCGACATCGATAATTCACTTCCGCATTGCTTTACCGGAAAGTCTTCGGGAATTTCCGAAGAATTGCGTCAGTACAACACAGCATTGTGATTGGTTGATAACCAACTTGACCCATTAGGTCAAAGGACGCCGCTGCAGGTGAAATCTGCAAATGCATCATGGCGGAAAGTGATTTTCATCGAGAGTTTGCATACATTGTACGATCCAACACCTTCGTCAGTGGAGATAATATGACAATTTTGACTTCGACTGTGTTCCAACAGACTCAAATGTTTTTAATTTCGTAAATTCTGGTGGTACATAATTAATATTGTAATAAAATGTGCATATTTTTTGTGATCATTTCTGTTCCTTCATTGTGAAAATTAATGACGACTCAACTAATTTCGTAATTTGATTTCCCTCAAAGACGTAATCTGTCACTTGATGAATAAAATTTTTCATCTGCACTCTTTTTCGAAGGGGTGCTCGGGTAAGCGCCCACCCCTAAAAAATCGTGATTTTCTGAGTTGAGGCCCCTGGGCGCTAACGCGGTCGAGTACGGTATATATCTTTTAACGGCGTCTGACATTTTTCGGTGGCCAGTTTTTTTCATCTTATAACTCCTTCCCATGATATATTAGGTTAATAAAACACTGAGAAAAGCTTGAAATACTATAGTGTAATGTTTGTTTATGCTTCCATCGCGTAACGGACACTACTTATAGATTACACAGGATAAGCTGGATGGTCAACAAATCAGTATGCAAATTAAATCCTTTGTCTTCAGTCTGTCATTCAACATGATATGTAAATGCAAGAAGGACGTGTTCACCT